TTGCAGGATACCTTACTTATTAAGGTGTGCCTTCAATCCAGTGCCTTGCCATCAATTAATAGTATGAACTTGAAGTTACATAAAATCCACAACGGGGATAAGTCGTCGTCCTTATACAAAGTGGTATTTTGTTCTTTATGCCTAACCAATTAACGACGTTATACCTAACATAAACATTTATTTAGTTATTCTCAACAAATTCTTGAATCACTACAGCTACACACATTCAGATGTATTCGTTATGGGGATTTGAATCGAGCTTAATTTTCCATCCCTAGCACGTCAGAATCTAAATACCTGCCTCGCTTTAATATAGCAAACATTTAGGTTGATGCCTGCAAGTAGGTACGAAGGATACTAGGAACTACTTCTAAGATATTTTCACAAATACTAACGTACATCTACTTTGTTTGCGTTCACGGGTAAGTCGGCAGAGCTGTTCATGCAAAATGTATGAAGTTGATCTGCTCTGGAGTTTGCCATGCATTGCTTTATGCACTCGCAAGCGTCGCGGTTATGTATGTCGACTTCCTAAGCTGTATTGCAAATAGAAAATCTAAATCTCATTATTGAATTCGAAGTATAATATTAGAAATATTAATCACTAGCGATCCACCCCGGCTTTACTCTATCTATTAAAAAAACCGCATCAAAATCTGTTGCGTAGTTTTAAAGATGTAAGCATACATACGGACAGACTTTGTTTTATAGGTAGGTACTTACTATTTAATGATTTATGATATCAATACGGAAGTAAAGATCTTTTATAATAAGTTACGACTTACGATATACTTTAGATGCCAGCTATTTTAAAATTTTACATGCATTTAAACAAACTGCACATAAATTTAAAGATCATAAATCGACTAATCGGTACTAACCTTCGTACACTTGAAAGAAAAGTTTCTAAAATGTTTTTTATAACTGACGTCATCGTGTTTTGATGAACACTGTTTTCTTAGAACACTAACTACATCACATAAAAATCGCACTTCTTACAACTATACTTAATGTACTCATACTTAGCTTGATGCGCCGTCCTCATAACTTCAAATAAGGTTATCCCCCTTACCCTAATTGAAGGTAAGTCTGGGCGACTAGGCATATAATCATGCTCTACCACCCAAGTCTGGTCTCAGACTGTGGGTGTATTGTATTAGTGAAGTGGTACTGTCAGTTGTATAAAGCTTCAGTCGCCCGAATCAGCAACGTTTACAAAGAGCGACATCAAACGAGGCAACTTTATGTATTTTATGAATAAAAACATTTTTTTAAACAATCCAATTAAGTAAGTCAATCATATTATACTAATTAATGTGTTTATATTCGTCGCTCATGTCAAGCGCAGGACCGCTCGAATCCCAAGCAAAAAAGATGATGTGAACTTTTCGTCTTTACCCAAAGAACTAAACTTTCTAAGAAATATTTTTTTTGATATTTGATTTGAAAGGCTGCACAGTTGTTTTTTGAAAATATTATTACAAAAAAGTTTTTAATAATATTTGATGAAAATAGAGACTTTATTTACTATATTTTGATATCATTGGGATATTTTTTTTATCCACAACGAGGAAGCTCTTGGCTTGTATCTCACCTGACGGTAAGTGATGATCAGGCAAAAGGTGGAAGCGAGCTTCACCCGGAATCCTCAACCACAGAGGAACTGGCTATCTTACCTCTAACTGCCGGAACGCAACAATGCTGTTAACATTATTGTTATGGCGACAGACTTAGGTAAGATGGTGGTAGCTAGCCAGGCGGACTTAAACAAGCCCTACCACCAACCAAACCGAACAGAAAAATCTGCCCCCACTGGAAATATTGCCGCCTTGCGAAGAATTTCCAAGAACTGCACATCTCTAGGTGCAATTCAAATCATTTGTCGCGTCGCGTCGTCGCCGTGAGAAAATAATGTTTTTGTAATGGGTAGGGTGGTGTATTTTTTATCGTGTGAACAACAAGTGTGTGTAATAGCATCCTTGGGAAGGTCAGGGGTTACAGTGAAGTAATAATAGCTAATTCTATGGTACCTACATCAAAACTACAATAAACCTTATTTTGAAAAATTATCGCTATGGCGCAATAAATAATAAGTCACAGTCTCAAGCAAGTATATTTTCTGAAGATTTACCGATTTACCAACAGATCCAATTGAGGATAAATATAAGAAAACTCGCGTTTAAAGTAAAAACAGATCGATATGTATTTGAATTGCGTGAAACCGCTATTAGCTATACATACACGCTATAATAATATCGTGTGGCCCATATTTCGAATGCCCTACAATTTGTGAAGGACAACATTAAAACATGAAACGATAATTTCAGTCGAAAATAGGTAGGCTTACTATCTGATACGTACACTGTTTAATTCTCATGAATATAAGTATACACCTTGCTTGTCTGTATATTGGGGGGATAATAATATGTATGCAAGTAGCCAATTCAAAACTTATTTTATACTAGCTTTCCGCCCGCGGCTTCGCCTGCGTGGAATTTTGTCTGTCACAGAAAAACTTTATCGCGCGCGTCCCTGTTTCAAAAACCGGGATAAAAACTATCCTATGCTCTTTCCCGGGACTCAAACTATCTCTGTGCCAAATTTCATCAAAATCGGTTGCGAGGTTTAAGCGGGAAAGCGTAACAGACAGACAGACAGACAGACAGAGTTACTTTCGCATTTATAATATTAGTTGGGATTATAAAATGTGTTGTTTTGTGTGATGTTATGTTATTTAACTGTGTTAACAGCATTAATTTTCTACATTACTCAAGTATCAAACAAATGCTCGAATAATGGCATTTTCATTCTAAACAAAATTTAAAATTTTTAGCGTCAAGAGTTGCATGTCGTTACATAAAAATTACATTTTAAAACCCATAGCATAGGTACCTATCGCTTTTCAAACATCATAATATCCTAAAGGAATCCCAGTGACCGGGCATTAATTTGATGTTATCAAGTAGCCAATTTTTACTGTCACGTGACTTACAGGCAACGTGTCCCGCGGCGATTGCCCAACAACGATATCATCAATGGACTTCGAATATCGTGTTGTCTCTCCACGTGTCAGTAGAATAGATAACCTAATACCTAAATTGGTTGAGTGTCGACTGGAATACGTTTAAAATTGGCAGAGGACTGACTTACAATTAGCGAACTTGCGCTGCAACTATAATTGAACTGAGTAACGTGGGCACAAAGGGGTTTTATTAAAATGTTAAGTTCAAACCGCTTTACACTCGGAGGGTTAATTACTTTATTCTAATTTGTCACACATGAGTCACTTAGATGATAAAATGTTATTTTCTCAAATTTTATTTATGTAATTGTTTTAAACGAAACAATACGGCCGTGGCTATTCATCTTCTATCGCTAACGTATGTAGTCCGGTAACGTGTCTTCGCTCAATGAAGCGATTTCGAATGTCACTTCGTCTAGACTCCCGGTCAGACAGCTGTTTCGACGGCAAGTGATAATGATGAACTTAAAGATTTTTAATGTGGAGCCTAATGAATCTTAAATGTAAATAAACATACATCCAAATGATGAAATAATCTTAGTCGGCGTTAAAACTTTCTGAAGCAAGCCGTAATTTATGCAGGTAAAAAGTGTGCAAGAAGCTTATTTTTTCTCCTTCGAATTCCAAAGTGAGTACACTTGTAAAGCTTTTTAAAACTTGCGAAAAACGTCGTCGAGTCGCAACGAAAACTTTTAGAGCTTTAAAAGCTCATAAATATTTACCTCTAGGTATACTGTATATGTCGGCGTTTCACGAAATGTTTGGGACTAAGTAATTAATTTAACTCACCGGTGTCTTCGGGGTAGATTAGATATTTTACTTAATAACGCTTGTCAATTTCACAGTATTACAAATATCTCTTTGGTAATACAGAACTGTAGTGCTGCAGTTTAGTTAAATTTTAAGATCTTTAACGCTTATATTAAAATTGTAAAGAATAATTATGTACTAAGTATAGAAAATACCTACTTACTATAATACCAAAACATAAATGATCTACTTATAAGGTACTTCCTTAACATTTGAGATAGTTATTTTTTTCTTATTATTGCTTTCGGTAAACATGCAAAAAAGTTTATGATAAGTAGTATGAAATTATGAATATATCGTAGAAAACGTGCAATACTTTAAGTTGAATAATGATGTTTAATGTCATTTGCAAGAGACTCTTACTTATTATACTAACATAATATTTCTTCACTGAAAGCACTTTATAAAAGAAGAATAAATATGAATTTCTATTAAAATTTTATTTTTTAATGGCTAAGGCTGAGTTGCACCATCTTACTTTAACTTTAACAAATGTCAAAAACCTGACAAACTCCATATAAACAGTATAACAGTCGTAGTGCGCACTCGCTAAAATAATGTTTTGTATAATATCTGAAAGTGTTGTGAATGCTTATACTAAAACGTTTGTTTTTATTTGTATAGAGAACAATAGTGTCTAGACAAACCTAAAGAGGATTTAGGACGCTATTTGGATCAAATATGTAATTGCTCAATGATGAATAATAATTAAAAAAAAATAACACACCGGTTATTGTTATAGTTACAGTTAAAGTCAGTTGGTGCAACTCAGCCTTAGATTATAAGCGCACTTAGACTCTAAGGACCTTAGGTATGATAAAAGTTAAGCACACGTTGAACATTAGTAAAATGATATTTCCATACTAAATGACAATTTAAACAAGTGTTCAACGGGCGGTTAACTTTTTAAAATCAGCTCCTATGTTGTATTGGTTTGGAGATAAACTTTTTTTTCTAAATGAACTCCTTACCCAGACAGCCTGGCCACAAATAAATATGTTTCTTTTTCATTGGTGTGACGCGATCGTTTTTTGTTTTGCGTTCCAATATTTTGTCAATTCAATTATTTTCTGTAATTTAACTCGCAGATTAGTGAAAAGTATGTCATATTTAAGTGGAATTAAGATAAATGTGTCAGATTTATTGAAATAATTTTATTGTATTGCAGTGAATCGTCAAAGATGTGCTGGCTCAGCATCATCGTGGTGATATTCGACTGCCAGTGAGCTGCGATCACCGAGATGCTAAGCTGCATGACGCAGTTCCAACTTCTACTGCTGGCCCTGACGGGGATAGTGTTTGGTAAGTTAAATAATTACTTAAAAAGTTAAAAAAAACACGGGTCTTAACGCGACATTTATTAATGAGTTACATTATGTACTCACAGCTTGACGTTTCGGCTGCTATGCTGCAGCCGTCGTCACAAGCAGTCTGCGACGTCGTCCGTTCGGGCGGGCTTGAAAATTTTCAACTACTTAAAATTTTATATTACTTAAAAAGTATTTGAATGTTACGTTATTTTTCTTGCTTTGCTCAAGCTTTATTAAGAGAAAGACGATTTCATTCTATGAAAGAAAATTGAACAACATTCTTGATAAATTGTGTAAGGTAATGGGTTTGTGATAAACATTAGGTATAATGAGCATAGAAATTGTCCTGTTCCCGTCCTTCTGTGAAATGTTCGAATTACTGAAAATACTACTTCTAATTCCTATTTCGAGATATTTTCAGAAATATACATTTTAAACTAATATTAGCGTTATTTACAACTATACGTTACTGTGTTATTAGACGTACAGAATTCTGTATGCGATTAGGTAATAGCTTGCATTTGAGCGATTTCTACACACATCAAAGTTTAGCGCAGCTCGCCTGAAAACTCGAGAGGGCGCAATTTTCGTCTGACTTGTCGACATTTTGCGGTACACATTCTGGAAAAATGTAGGTATGCGAAAATCGTTTCAAGTTCGCGACAAGGCTTTCCCCAGCGGCGTGTGTGTTGACATGATATTTGGTACATCAAATGATGACAGTGCAAACCCCAGAGCGGTTTGCGGTTTTATATTAGGTTGTGTGTATGTTGTGTAGCGGGAAATCCTATTAGAACAAAAAGAAGCCATTTTAAATTAATCTTTTTAACCACCTAGCTTGTAACTGAAGGCATATAGATCATCATCGTCAGCTTTCATCAGTAACAAAACGATTGAGCAGGTGACTTTGAGTCGTTTGCATCCAGTGGCTTTATGCTACCTAAACCAGCTCATTGGTCTATTAAGCGGGTAGGAAATCCTATTAAAACAAAAAAGCCGTCTTACATTAGGTAATATTTTCAACCACTTCCCTAGTAACCGAAGGCATAAAGATCATCATCATCAGCTTTCATCAGTAACAAAACGATTCTGCAGGCGGCTTTAGGTCGTTTTCATCTAGTGACTTTCCGCTACCTGAACCAAATCACTGTGGCTTATCCACTCTACATTTTCCAGAACATAGTCACCTTGAGAAACTTTACTTCCTAAGGGTGATCGGGTCTACGAACGTTAAGGCTCATTGGAAAACACACTTGAAGATTCCTTATAATCCGTTAGTTTGTACTATGATATTTTATATTGTCCTACATAGTAAGCTATTTTATCAGTTAATTAAACAAATTAATCCAAATGAAAAACGAGAATGTTATCTACTTATTCTTACGTTTTAATTCGTAAAATGTTATTCTGTTTCATGTTGGGAAATTTCCTCTTCGCCTGAGGTCTTCGAATAACTTACATTCCCACAGAATACCTTCGGTTACTCACTCGTAATTGGTTCTCTGAGTAACTCTGAAAATCGATATACGAGTACAATTCGTATTGTAAGTGCGCTCCGTTAATTTCAGTTCAATAACTAATATTAGAGAGAGTTAAGACTGGTGGTGTAACTAAACGTTTCATCAATTAATTTTGCGAGTTAACTTAATAATTGTAGCCGTTATTTCAGCTAAATTTAGTTGATCAAGCCAATAATTGACTTGAAAGTCTTGCTTTGATCGTATGTTCGTCTTAAATCGTCGATCAAAAATATTTTTTAAGGAAGTATGGTTTCCATGAAAGGTCTTCGGCTTTTATGTGAAACAAGTAGATGAGACATATTTAATTGTAATTCTGTGAAAATTGTGATTTCTTTCTGAGACATACGAAAATTTTTTTTTTACGTCAAATCAGATTCCACGTGTATGTGAAATTGTGAAGTCACGGAGTCGTTGGAATGTGAAGAGTGACAGTACATTATTGCGCTTCAAAATGTAACAGGAAATTTTGAAAATAAAATATTGTAATAGGATTTTCTTACTATAAGTAAAAATGTTATTCAAAAGGTATCAAGACAATTCAAATCTTCGAAAAATCTTACTATAATTTTTTTCTTCGTTACGTTTCCTTCCTTTATTACGTTTTTTTTTTTGGTTCTTTGCTTCTTCTTTTATAAAGAAAGTTTAAGAAAATATTTATTTACTATTTTAATTGTATCGTTTAGAGTTGTTTCAAGTCAAATGGATCCCTTTAAACTTAACTATTCACCTGAAGATTACCAGGTTCTTTCCAGAACAAGGTAAAAATATACAGTGTGTCCGGGCATGTAGTGATCAAACTTTAAAGGCGTAATCTATGGACAATTTTATCGATGAAAATACTTCAAATTTGGGGCCTGACCCATTTCTCGAAAAATTACATCGATTTAAGTTTTTAATTTTTAGTTTACACCTCTTCTTTAAAAAAACAAGTGAAAGCGTGGGTAGTTTAACATAAATAGGCAAATATTTTATATCATGCGATAGCCAATAAAATTATCTATTAGTAGAAGAAGAAAGCTGACACAAGTTTCATACATTTTATGGGAGTAAGAATGGATTTAATTAGAAAAATACATTACTTTTTTCACTTCTTTTTCAGTTATTTTCCAACACAAGAAAAACCAGGTCGTTAAGGTATGTTTTATTTGCATTGTATTATTAGTATTTGAGCTATTCTACAAAACGAATGTAAATTTATTAGTCTACGTCTATTAGTTTCGACGTAATTGTTGAACAAAGATACCCCTTCCCAGCGGTTTCCATAGTAATCGGAATAGGTTGTGTGATTCTTTCAGGCAGTGCATTTTCGCATGTCGCGTGCGCTATGGAAACCGCTGGGAAGGGGTATCTTTGTTCAACAATTACGTCGAAACTAATAGACGTAGACTAATAAATTTACATTCATTTTGTAGAATAGCTCAAATACTAATAATACAATGCAAATAAAACATACCTTAACGACCTGGTTTTTCTTGTGTTGGAAAATAACTGAAAAAGAAGTGAAAAAAGTAATGTATTTTTCTAATTAAATCCATTCTCACTCCCATAAAATGTATGAAACTTGTGTCTGCTTTCTTCTTCTACTAATAGATAATTTTATTGGCTATCGCATGATATAAAATTTTTGCCTATTAATGTTAAGCTACCCACGCTTTCACTTGTTTTTTAAAGAAGAGGTGTAAACTAAAAATTAAAAACTTAAATTGATGTAATTTTTCGAGAAATGGGTCAGGCCCCAAATTTGAAGTATTTTCATCGATAAAATTGTCCATAGATTACGCCCTTAAAGTTTGATCACTACATGCCCGGACACACTGTATAATGAATCTTTATACATACTTATGTACCTATCTCTACGCAACTGTACAAGGACAAATGGAACAACATTACGAGTGTGTTCACGTCTCGATAGAAACTTTTAGCACACGTTCGTAAGAAGTTTCGGGATAACAAAATTTAAGACTCAGTAGAAGATAAATAAACATTCACGTATAAAACGCTGAATTATAAGAACTGATCAGTCAAGGGCTGAAATTATCGAGTCTAACCTAAGAAGACTATTTTTTTATACCAATTGAAAAAGACAAATTAATATACCTATTTTGTCATTTAATACACTATCCATAAAAGTGGCCTTACTTCCTTTTCTGTCTGCCATAATACCTACATAAGAAACCTACCGGTGATCAAAAGGCTGGCAGCTATTTCGGCCAGAGAATTAGCCTGGCCATTCAACGTGGCAATGCTGCCAGCCTTTAGGGCACCATTCCTGACTGCGGCGCTGGGGGTGAAGTATTTTTTATTTTGTAAATAGTTTTTATCATTAGTAATTTTAAATTTTTAGTTTTTAAGTCATTTTAAGTTAATGTATTATTATAAAATTTATTCTCTGATAAACACGATATATACTCAGAAACCTACTAACATAATTATGAAAAAAAAATTAGTCTCTCTTAAAAAAAGTTAATAAACGCGATTAAAAAACTTAATATTAAGAAATTAATATTAATAAGGTACCTAAGATCATCTTATTTTCCAGTCTGATGTAACTAATTATTTAACAGTAAAGTTCACGACATCTAGCTTGGTGCTCACTTTCGTCGTAAAACTCCGGAATGGACACGACGTAAGTAATTTGTCCAATGGACTGGCCATTTCAAACGCTGGCGAATATTTGCGACAGATTTCTTAAGCCAAGTCGAGATTCATAACTTTCTGATTTCGATTCCGGAAACTTCTGATAGTTTTTGTTCCAACTGCGTCATATTGTGACTATTAAGTACTTATTATGAAAAATAAAATCAAAATCCAAAATCTCTTTATTGTTAAGACCAATTAAATAAGTTCTTACAAATTCTCAAATGCTCATAAGGAACCTTTAAATAAGTATCTAATTATTTTTCCCCTACCGCTTCGAGACAAACGTAATAAACGTAATAACGTTATAACTTATATTTTCAACTAGCTTTCCGCCCGCGGCTTCGCCCGCGTGGAATTTTGTCTGTCACAGAAAAACTTTATCGCGCGCGTCCCTGTTTCAAAAACCGGGATAAAAACTATCCTATGTTCTTTCCCGGGACTCAAACTATCTCTATGCCAAATTTCATCAAAATCGGTTGCGAGGTTTAAGCGGGAAAGCGTAACAGACAGACAGACAGACAGACAGACAGACAGACAGACAGAGTTACTTTCGCATTTATAATATTAGTTGGGATGTATCGCTGTTGGTTTCTATAAAATAAATAAATAAAGTACTTATCTAATATCTAGGCAATATAATATATGTAGATAGTATACAGGGTGTTAGGTAAATGGGTATATGAGCCGACACTAGCCCATGATAACATGGGCATATAAATGGTATGGGCATATAATTTGATATCATCATTTTAACTTTTTTAATTTTCATACAAAATAAATTTTATAAAATCCGATTTGTATGAAAATTAAAATAATTAAAATGAAGATATCA